ACTCAGTTGCAGCAGTTTCAGAGGAGCCAGTGATGATGATGTCATCCACATAAATCAGAAGATAGACATTATAGCCAGATCCAAAATACATGAATAAGGATGTGTCCGAGTGTGAGGTGAGAAATCCAGTGCTAAGCAAGAAATTACGCAACTCTTGATACCAAACTCTTGGAGCTTGTCGAAGACCATATATCGCTTTCGTAAGCTTGCAAACATGGTGCGGAAAATCAGTATTAATAAAGTTGGGTGGTTGATCCATGAAAACCTCATGAGATAAAGATCCCTGCAAGAAGGCATTGTTAACGTCAAGTTGGCGTAAAGGCCAACCATTAGTTACAACAAGTGTAAGTATTAGTCGAACAATAGCATGTTTAACAACCGGACTGTAAGTTTCGGAGAAATCAATTCCGGGACGCTGATTGAATCCCTTGGCTACAAGGCGGGCTTTATGGCGGGCTATTGAACCATCCGGATTTCTCTTGATCGTATAAACCCACTTACAACCGATAATGTTTTGTGTGACAGTTCTAGGGACAAGGGACCAGGTTTTATTTGAGAGTAAGGCATTATATTCATCACACATGGCTTGACCCCACGAAGGATTTTGCAGGGCTTGTTTGTAGGTGGAGGGTTCACGATCAAGCTGAGAAGAGGTGTTAATGTTAAGAATCTCTCTAGGTTTAGTAATATTATGTTTGAGTCTAGTGTTATAAGGATGAGGGATAGAAGCAGAGGGTTCTGGTTCCTGGGAAGACGAAGTAGCGCCCTGGGCATGAAGCTTAGTCGCGGGCGTATTGACTGGAGGAGTGACCGACCTTGTAATAGTAGATTCATTAGTAGCATGAGGTTGAGCATCGGGGACAATAGATGTGATAGAAGTAGTATGTGGTGGACGAATCATTGTGTGAGAGAGTGGGATATTAGAATTAACGGGAGAGATAGGTGAGTCTTGAGATTGATTGGTTTGAGAGAGCCAGTGGTTAGTTGTGTAGGCTTTGTGGTCGGATTTTGGAAGTTTGGTGAAAGGAAACATTGTTTCATTGAAAATCACATGACGTGAGATAAATACTTTATCAGATGTAGGGTCAAGACACGTATATGCATGGTGAGGGATAGAGTAATCGATAAATACACACGGTTGAGAGCGTGGTGCAAGTTTGTAAGTGTTATAGAGACGTAACCATGGATAACATAGACAACCAAAGACCTTAAGAGAAAGGTAATTTGGTGATTTTTGAAATATATGGTAATATGGAGATTGTTTAAGAGTGACATCGGAAGACATGCGATTGATTAAATAAGTGGCTGTTTGAAATGCTACTGTCCAATATCGGAGAGGGAGTGAGGCGTGATGAAGAAAAGTTAGAGCAGTCTCGACAATATGCCGATGTTTACGTTCAGCAGTACCAACATGCTCAGGGGTGTGAAGTGGGGATTTGAGATGTTGGATGCCAAATTGAGAAAGAAGATGACCAAGACTTGTGGTTTTTCCACTACCATCGGTGTATACGGTTTGAATAGTTTTAGAAAAATATCTCTCAACTAATGTTTTAAAACGAACAAAAATTGAAGATACGTCTGATTTATGTTTGAGAGGATAAAACCAAGTATATTTTGTAAAATAGTCAACAAAAATGACATAATATCGAAAATTATCAAATGAGATAATTGGAGAAGGTCCCCAAACATCCATAAAAAAAGGACTTCTAAAGGGCGTGTACATGTTAAGGTAGAAGTACCAAAGAGAAGTTTGTGACTTTTATTGCATAAACAAGCATTACAAAAAGAGGAGGAAATATTATTTTTAGATAGTGGTAAAGCATGGGAAGAAATAATATGCTGGAGAACCTTTAAAGAAGGGTGGCCAAGACGACTATGCCAGAGGTGGGTAGACGGTGAAATGAAGTTGGACTTTGTTGCCGTGTATGCTAAGGAAGAGATGGTTTGAGATGAATCTGGTATAGAGGTCGGCCACTCGTAGATATTGCCCTTACTCTGGCCTCGCACCAAGGATGCCCCCGTAATTAGATCCTTGTCAAGAAAAAAATCAGAGAAAAATTCAATAGAAGCTTTATTTTGGGAACAAAATTGAGAAACAGAAAGAAGGTTTTTCTTAATTTTGGGTGCACACAAAACATTATTCAGTTTGAAAGTAGTATTATAAGATTTAAGATCCGTAGAGCCAATGTGAGTAATAGGAATATTATTACCATCACCAACAATTATATCTTCATTACCATCATAATCGGAGTGAATGGAAAGATTTTGTAAGTCTGAAGTAATATGATGAGAAGCCCCTGAATCGACTAACCAACCCGAATTGTTGCTCGTAGAGGAGCGGGCTGCGAGGTTTGCTTGTGGCCAGTTGGATGGTGGAGGTCTATACCGACAAAACTTGGCAACATGACCTACTTTGTCACATAATTGGCAAAACATGTCGAGTTTGGGGGCTAGAATAATTGCCACGAGAGCCATTTTGTTGAAACGAATTACCTGGAATTCCACGATAAATATTGTTGGTACCTTCATATGATGGTTGACGAGATTGAGAAGAATGAAATTTGCCCTTTTTGTAAGGCTGCTTTTGAGAGAAGTGGGCAGTGATGGGAGTATCTTCTGGAGCAACGATTGAGTGCTTGAGACTTGTCTCATTGTCGAGCAATTTTTCCATCAATTCGTCAAACGAAATAGGTGTTTCTCGAGCCCTTAATACAGCCTTGATTTCCTTGTAGGAGTTGGGAAGCCCGTTGAGAGTGTGAACGACGATTTCTCCATCACTCATGTTGTGACCAATAGCAGTAAGATCGTCAATGATCGTTTTGACGGACTGTAGGTACTCAGACATGGTTTTGCCTTCTTGCTGAATTTTAGTGAGAGCGTCAATAAGACTTACAATGCGAGTATTCGACTTATTCGCATATGTTGTTGCGAGAGTGTTCCATGCTTCTTGAGAGGTCGCACATCTAGTGATGAGAGGTCCCGCTGACCCTTGAACGGCAGTTTGAATAGCGAGGATGAGTAAACGATCTTGGCGAACCCAAACTTTAAATTCTGATGTGGCTGCTTACGGACACGGGATTGTCCCATCTATATAGCCCATGAGGTCATAACCAAGAAAGAGATTGGTCATTTGAGAACTCCACATGGAATAATTTGGTCCGGTGAGTTCTTGGGGTATGAGTGTAGCTGTGTTGAGTGAAATAACTTGAGGAGGAGAAGAGGAGGATGAATCAGTAGTTGGGGTGGTAATAGTGGGGTAGACATGATGAAATTGGTGAAAAGAAGAAGAAAGCAAGAAGCTGGAAAAAAAATAGTGGCTCTGTACCATGTAAGAGAAGTTAAAATGTGATAATGAATTGTGTATTTCATCTGTATAGTTCGACACCTATATATACAAGTTAGCAACTTACAGTTACAATCACTATTACAAGATTAAAGCTACAAACTTAATGGAGAATATTATATATTAATTACAATATGATTTCGAGGGCTGCTCTGATTCTTAGAGATGTGATTAAGCTTGATTTGATGATGAGTGATTTATAGGCTTATTTGGTGGAGAGATAATTGTTGCCTTATCATGGTGGTGGAATATTTAAGGAAGAAGGAGAACATTAAAAATAGCTTATTTGCTGGTTGTTGAAGAAAAAATATTTTGGGGTGGGGGGTGGGTCAACAGGGAAGACAAGACTCTATTTTTCTTGTTTTTTTTCACGAATTTTTCAATTGGATTTTTGGTATATTGCGTTTTTAAATCACTGTTAATTTTGTCATTTCATTTAAGTCAACAATTAAATCTAACTAAAAGGGACGGTGTGCTATATAAAACAAAACGTAAGGGGGTCTTTGCTACTTATTTTATCATGATGGCTTTTATGCCAATTAGAAATAACACAGGGGGGTCTGTGCTATTAGCTCTTATTATTATATATAGAGTGAAATATTTCTTTCAGCTGATAATTAATTATATAATTTCACAAAACTATAGAGTATTTTAACACAACTTATACTGTTTTTTTTTTTTTTTGAGAAGAACACAACTTATACTGTTAAGGGTTGAAATTACTAAACACACACTATTACTATTACGTATCTACTAATGTTTATACATTTTAATGGAGTTAAATGCAAACCCCCCCCCTGTAATTTCTAAAGGCCAAAAAATCCGCTGGGAAAAAATAAGTCACCAAAACCCCCCTAACAAGTGTTCAATCAAGCACAATCGACCCTTTTTGATTTTTGTCCGTTGACCGCCCGCGAAAAGACAAAAAAGCCCTCCAGATAAATATGTCCAACCTCTAGAATTTTATGACTGAAATGAAATTTTCAAAATTTTCAATTCAGTCCCTAAGACATTCAATTTAGCCCTCTTCCCCAATTTGAAAAAAAATTACAGCAACGCACGATAAGCGTTTTAATTTCTCAGCTCACAGCTCACATAGACACGCCTCACCCACTCAACTCTCACTCAGCGGCGGCTGCAGCGGCAGCAGAACGATTTTGAGAGGATTTTGCGGCGGGCTTTGCTATTCGTCGGAGAAGTGGTGGAGCTCGCCGGACCTCGAATTGGCGGCGACTTTGGAGAAGATCTAAACTCGCGACGGCGGCGGTCGCTGGGCAACGTCGGAAAAGAAGATGGCTATGTCAGAAAAGAAGATGGGTGAAGAAGATGGCGTGAATTTGACGGGAGGAAGAAAATCCAATTTTTTTTCTTCTTTTTTTTGTTTTGTTATTTTTTATTATATATATATATATATATATATATATATATATATATATATATATATATATATATATATATATATATATATATATATATATATACTAGTGTAGAGCACCGCGCAATGCGCGGTGCCGGGTGCCTCGGGTGAATACAAAAACTTATAGTATTATGTATTTTCGACATATTTTCATATATCGATCTTTAGGCTGCATTTCTTTTTTCTTTTTTTTTACGATTAGGTAAAATTTGTGTCGAATGTGGCGGTGACGATTTGAAGTTGTCTACGGAGGGTGCTGTGGGGTCCACTCCCTTAGAAACAAGGGAATTTGTTGGTGCACAAATGATTGTCAAAATACAAACTCGTTCCTAGGTGCCATACCCTTATAGACGGCTAATAACGCGTCCCTTAACGTCAAATTAAAAGCTGCAGAAACATATCAATTTCGTTAGCATTGGTAAATTGTATCAACGAATCATTGCAGATTAATTAAATGCAAGCAAGGAAGAACTGAAAGACGCATGCAAGAGTGAAACTGCACGAACATGCAGCAAAAACCAGTTTGCAATAATGTTTACAGCAGCAACATATATATTGTGATTGTAGAAAATCAATGTTCAACAATTATAATAAAAAATTCCAACTTTGATTAAAAATAATAAAACATCTTGCGAAATTAGCATTGATTGCAGACAAAATTGGCTACTGCCAATATTTTCGTGTGTTATTCTTTTTCAATTCCAAAAAAAGCTAAAAGAATAAGATAAAACAAAAATTCGATACTCATTAACAATGAATATATGAACTAACCTTGAATCAGTGCCGCCGTTGCTCGGAATTGAGAGAAAATGAGGCGGAGGGGCATTACAAAAAACGAGCTCAGATTTTATTTTATTTAATTAAATTGTTTTTCATAGGAGAGATGGCGCCAACTTCTCCTCTCACCTCGATCTCCGGCACCGCCTATCTCAAAAGCTCTTGCACTACCGCCCTGCGCTAGCCGACCACGAGAGGGGCTCGCCGCTTCTAGCGTCGGCGAGCATCAACGCCGCTCACAGGGCAGAGGCGAAATCATTGAGAAGTTGCTCGAAACCTTCAAAGGAAAGAGAAACGTCTTCGAATACAAAGGAGAAAAAGTGAAGGAAGAAAAAATTGGAGCAAAATTTGAAGATAAGTTTAACTAATCTGCTGCTGCGGTGGCGGGCGGCAGCAGCGGGCGACTAAGGAGGAGCAAGTTAGAGGGCTGGTGGAAACGACGTCCTTCTGCAGTGAGCAGAATAAAAGAAAAGGAAAAATGAAGTCAAGCTGCTTTAAAAATAAAGGGAAAAGAAAAGATTTGGAGACGCTGATTGGTGAGAGTGAGGCCAACGACAACGTTTCGGCATTAGATGGGCCAAAAGAAAATAAAAAAGATAAGGCATGAAGAAAAAGGGGGTTATCCCCATATAAAATAAAATCTTTCAAGAAATCGAATAAAACAATGAAAAAATAAAATCTTTCAAGCTAAATTCCCTCACTAGTACTCTTCATCTCTTGAAATGAGAGAAGTCTGTTGGAGTATAAGTAAATTTGGTACCACCTACCAAGAGTGATTTACAAACATCCAATAGACTAAATATTCAATTTAATACAAAATTCAGAAACCCATAAATATATTTATTATTTTTTCAGAAAGATACAAAAGCAAAACATGCGCTAAAACAACCCGGCAAAATTTGTTTATAAAATAACCATCCTTAATTCTAAAAAATGGGAGCTCTAAACCAAAGACAGCATAAATAGCCTCAGTACCGCGTACACTTGTGGGCCTTACTTTTAAGATCACAGGACCGACGGGGAATGAATAGTAAATAAATTCTCCTAAAAAAACCATCAATTCAGAGCAAATTTTGAAGAATCAAACCATATCACCAAATGAGAAAGCTAGACAATAAAGTGCTGAAGAAATAACAAAGGACAAAAACAGTTACAAGAAATAACCCGTGAAGTAGAAAATTGAGTGTACCATTCAAATAACCAAAGAAAAGTCGCTCCTAAGGTCAACCTCTCGGTGATATAAGATGTCAAATGGGGGTATGAAAAGAGCTATTTATGATCTCTGCTGAGAGAATTAATAAGTGTAGGCAATAATTTCCTATTAAGCGGTCCTAAAATCAACCAAAATATGAGAGGATATAGCGCGTGAAGAGGTTTCCTTCAGACCACCCACTGGCGCTTTTCATCTTGGGTGTTCCCGGAGAGAACACCTAAGACCTCGTCTGGTTGGGAAGATTAGTCATGACTAATTAAATAACCTGACTTTGATTGATGTCCGGTAAACCCAATAATTTTGTGGGTCGACCCGAAAACATTATTTATTTGTCCAATAATACAATTGAATTTTCACTACATTATTTAATATTCTTATCTTGGTTTATCTTATCTAACGAACCAAACAATGCCTAAGAAAACTAACCTGTTTTTAAACAGAAAAACAAAGTAAATAGACCAAATACCTGCACTGGGTTTGCTGCAATAAGACTACCACCTATTGCACCACCAATCATATGGCCATCAGGACTACACAGAGATGCTGATGCCACCTGTCCGAATGCAGGGCCCGCCACTTTCAGAGAGCAAGTGCGAACCGGACAACCACAGTATCTCAAAACGACCCTATTTATTTAGAAATAGCAAGTCAGAAAATAAAATAATGGTAGCTCGAACAAAAGGACAGATAATAAAATAATTACTTACAATCAACATGAACAATCTAGGACTCGAAAATAACCTTCAACTTTAAAGCTTCACGAAACAAAAAAAGTCTATTTAAATTATTAAAAACGAAGTTGTAGCCAAACAAAAGTTTAAAGCTTAACGATTATTGGAATTTTCAATTACAAATCCTTCTAAAAGAGACATCAGCATCTTTATTATAGTGGTAAATAGATGCTTCATAGTACGTACTAAATATGCAACCAAAGTGGAACACAATTTACAATTATGCCATTAATTCATTAACGGAAAAACTCTGGTTTCAACGAGTATAAAGAATTATACGAGTACAAAATGCATTAACCTCAAACGTAATATTGGCACCAGAAGTTGTGGGCTGGCGTAGTGTCACCAAAGAAACCCATCCACTACCTGACATGATGCATAAACATCTCGGTCTTTGTCGTGCACATTTTTGCGGCAATATCCTGTACACGACTCAGCAATTAATTGCAACATAAAAATTACTATTGCAAATTGACGGATTATCGAATAAAATCGAGATAATTAATTAGGGAATGCAGCAAACGTACCTCTCCGACTCCAATGTGTAGTACATGTCGTGTAAATGCTAGTCCCACTGACGCGTTCATCCATTCGCCTGAATAAGTAAATTTTTTTTTTTTGTTAAAGTTCACATCACACTGACAAAGGTTACAAACTTACGATAACTAAATCGATACGAATACTGAAACAAGTGCATTTAGGGGAAAACGAAAGGCAATATCCCCTAAAGACGCGTACTTCCGACGACAAAAATCACATTTTGAAAAAATAAGACACATTAGGGTTACTACAGTTCCTCGAACAAAACTTACCAATAGGAGCAAGTTTCTGTTTCCACCATGTGCCAGGCGGCCGCACATTTCGTGCTCTCTCCCCCGAGGCAATCCGCTCAGACGATGGAGTGGCGGCAGAAACAGTGGACAGCCCTAGCGACATATTAGCTGCTCGAACCTGAAGCTCCGGTCAGAAACCAGGGAAGAGGAATTGGGGTGACAATCCCGGTGCAACATTGAAAATCACTACGTGTGAGAAATAACATTCGTTTTTTGTGGTCTTGGTGGACCTGCAATAATGGCATTATGTGTGAGAAAGAAAAATATAATAATCTAATATTATAAAACCTTCAAAATAAAGTCTAAGCAGCTCACAATCTTGCTTTCTCCAGTCATGCTGGATGCGTCAATGGCGAGAGAATGTCCGTTTATCAAGATTCCATCGGCAGGAACCTGTGTAAAATACATTAGAAGACTCTTTTAGACAATGATGTGCGGTCCAAGAAAGTATATCGAGTAAAATCAAATCTGTTATCACCTGATCACCAATCTTGAGAGGTATGACATCTCCAACCACAATCTCGTATATCGAAACCTTGTCTCTTCTGCCACCTCTGATCACCTGTACATATGTTTGTCCATGAGAGTACTCTAAAGAGAACAATAACAAGAAGGTAAAAGCTTGAATAAGTTCGTGACTGGAATATTACCTCCAATTTGATGTTCCGTTTTTCTTCATTTAAATTTTGAAACTGGAGGGACTGCCGGTAATCACGAGTTGCTGAACAACAGATACAATGATAAAAAGTGAAAATATATTACTTCTCTCCTAAGGTTATAAACAACCAATCTGAATTTTCTAACCTGTAACAAAAATAACCGGTAGAACAGCAAAGGTGATGTTTCCGTCGTCGTACCATCCTTCCTCCAGGCCCTGGAAAACAAGAGCAATTCTTAAATTATATATGAAGGAAATTATATAAATTCTCTTAATAATATGGTATTGTTGTATTTCAAGCCAACCTCGATTTTTATTCCGAGAGCCAAAGAGGCCACAGCGGCTGTTATTAAAATAATGAGAGTTAGATCCTGCCAAGCTTTCCATAAGAACCTCTGCGCAAAAACAAACGTCGAATAAGTAAATGGTGGAAATGTATAAGTAAGAACATACGATCAAACAAATATAACACTCTAGACAAGTCTTACCAAGAAACTCCTCCCTTTTTTCACGGGATACGTGTTTGAGCCGAAAGCATTCTTTCTTCGTGATAACTCATTTTCGTCACCGTATATCCCAGTTTCGACGTCTGTTTTTATCATTTCTGCCAACCCTTTAACCTGAATAAAATGACGGTCGAGATTAATATTTATGCATATAGCATATGTTAGTAGACTTCCTAAAGAGATGGTGAAGGGAAAAAGGAAGTGTTACCCCTCCATATTGTTGCAGTGCTGTAATATTATGATCCCTGTTCATCGAAGCAAGTTGCTCGAGTCCGATTTCATAATCACCGTTAGGAGATGGTGGAGCTACTGTCGTGCCTAATACTGAATTGACGAAAATCAAATCAGGTTTGTAGCAGAGATGGAATTAAGAGATGGAATTAGGAAAACCAGCTTAAAAAGAAGCAAACTCGAAAAATACCTATTGCTCGTTGTCCAGCCAACTTAAAGAGCAGTGCAGCCTGCAACCACCGACACCAGAATATCAAGAATCGAATGAATAAAAGTACGGAATGAAGACTATGTGTTTTAATATTACCCTTGTGACTTGAGCATGTGCTCTGATCATCCGTCTTCTCTTTTCTTGTTCTTCGTCTTTTTTCAGGTCTAACTTGTAGCGGAAACGTCACGAAGTATTAAGCACGAGGGCGGCTTGCTGCAAAAGGACCAAGACTTGGACAATCAGAAAGAGGTGCACATGCATGTAATTCATCGAATTTCAAGTGATTTTAAATTCCATAACCATAAAAACAAAAACGATAAATTCGACGACTAATCATTCAACCGTTTAATTTATCCTCAAAACAGAAAAATAAGATGCACTATTATGGGATCAGGTAATCGAAACGTCACGTGCATGAAACCAAAACAGAGGCCATAAAAGAATCGCCAACAACAACATCACATTTTACGATGAAAACAAACGATTTATTGCATGTGATAATTAAATGCAATACAATAAACAAACACACGCCGGCGAAATCTTACCCTTCAGCGCTTGAGCGATTCATGGGAGGCGTTTTTGGTGTTGGCAATGTCGAAAGGATCAGAGAAATCAGGATCGCTGCCCCATCCACCCCCATCAACGCCGGCGGAGGAGTCGCCGGTCTCGATGTCGAGGTACGCTGCAGCTTAATTGCCGGTAGTCATATCGGCGGTGGCTGGGGGAGGAAAAAGAAATATGAGTAAAAAACAATTTGTGTTTATTTTTGTGCAAAACTGAAACACCTATTTTTACTTCACCTACAAAGAAGAAGAACCACTATAGTTGTACAACGGAAGAACATGTGTAATACAAACTTTTTCACTCCACCACCACCACCACCGCCGGAGCCATGAATATTTGCGCTAGTCCCGGAATTAACAGAACCACCAGACCCTCCTCTAATAAACAAGAGTCTTGAAGCCCCTTTTACGGCCCAATTTGCAAATCTGAAACTGACCCACCAAATTAGAATCAGAACTACAAAGACCATATACGAAAACAAAAGAAAAAAGCACAGACAAGATAGATACGTAATTAGAATCAGTACGCCGCCTAACAAGGGTTTACATGAGTTTTCCAGTAATTAATGAAAGAATGTTGAAAGAATCAGGAAAATAAGTAAATTTAGTGTCCTAACCTGTGACAGTAACCAAAGGGTTATCCAAGAATCGAAAAAAGGTTGAATCTTGGAACCGGTTGAATGCGAAGAGAAAAGATGAAGCTAGTTCAAAAAATGCAGAAAACCCATATATGACAGCCCACAAATTGAAGATAGAGACGAGGAGGGCGGCGACGCATACTATTGGAGGAAAAGAGCGGTGCCGTGGTACAGGTGCATCGGGTGGAGCGGCGGCGGGGCAGCAGACTAATCAACGGCTGAGGTCAACAATTGTTGGCGATGGTAAAAAAAAATCAAGCACACACGGCAAAGCGACGTCGTTTCTCAGCAAGCAGAATAAAAAAAAATCAAAAATCAAACATACAGGACACGGTCGAGCAGCTTGGAAATTAAATGAAAAAGAAAATAATAACGGCTGTTGATTGGAGGGGTAATATGAAACGGAGGCGTTTTGGCATTAAACGGGGTAAAAGAAAAGGCAAAAGAAAATGGAGTAAAGAAAAAGGGCGGATCCCTATATATATATACTTAATATATATATATATATATATATATTAATGGAATAAGAAAAGAGAGATTTGGAGGGGCACTTGTGACTTTTCACACAAAAATCGCACAAGCAGTCGCACTGTTAGCGTGTGAATGACACGAACGAGATAGAGGGGGGTGTATGACTTTGACTACTAATCACAGGGAGTTATTAGTCACTTAATTTTACCCAGGGGTTTTTTGGTCTTTAGGAAAATCACAGGGGTTGTTTTTGCATTTAACTCCATTTTAATGGCTTAATCCACTTTGCACCATTCAAATGGAGCCTTTTGGCATTTTGCACTATAGAAAAATAATAATAGCACTTTGCACCCTGAAAGCAATAAATTATTCACAATGCTCTCTTAATTGGATATTAAAGGATAATTCATTTTTATTGGTGCAAAATAACAAATTAAATTGTTATTTTCTTCAACCTCCTTACCTAATTTCGAGCACACAAAGTGCGAAAAAAATTAAAATCACATCGGATAATTCAAAAAAAAATATATTTTCTTACAAAAAGAAAAACTCAAATTAACTTTTATCACAAAATTATTCGATTGATAGATCTTTTATTGTCATTAGTGGAGATATTAGGTAGAAATATTTGGAAGAAAATATGATTTCAGATAACTTGATAATTAACGAAATAGGTGAAGAATTTTTTTTGTGAAAATATAATTTTTAAATACCACTAAACATATTAAATTATGTTTATTAGCTTTAAACCACTCATGTGAGATGCATTATGCACGATATAGTGTTTTGAGGGAGCAAACTGCTATTAATTTATTTTGAGGGTGCAAAATGACAAAATAATATATACAAGGGAAGTGGGATTAAGCCATATTTTAATTAATAGATTGATTAAAAGATTCAACATAATGTATTACTGTACTGTGCATGCACTGACTCGAGGTGGGCGGATAATTATAACAACTGAAAACCCAAAAAAAGATAAAAAAAAAAAAAAAAAAAAGGAAGAAGAAAAGAAAAACCCTAAATAAATACAAAGCTTCCAATTTTGAATTTAGGGACAACGCTCTGACTCAGACCAACAATCGATCCATCCACTCATCCATGAAACAGAGGGTTGCTGGACAAGGAATCCCCCACCCCTAAAACCCCCGTTCGAATTTCGGTTATGCTTTTCTGATAATTCTGATTCTTGACCTTTACCTTCTTCTATTTTTCAATTCCTTGATTTCTGTCGAAAATGGATCCAGAGCAGACATTTATAAGGGTGCAGGAGCGATTTTCTGAGATGCTGACCCAAAAAATCAGAGCCAAGCTCGAGTACTTTTTCCTATTCCTCGCCATTACCCTCTTCTGTATTCTCGTTGTCATGCACGCCAATTACGTTCAGCAGGTCCCCTTCTCTACACCTCCTTTCCCTTTTCATTATTTATTTATTTATTAATTCCTGCTTATCAATTCTGGCTGTATGGAATGTCGTGTTATTTCTTGTATTCCAGTGGCCTTTGTGCTTGATTGCCTCAATTTCATTTCTTTTTGATTTTATTATACTGACGATTTTCTTTTCTCATGGTGAAGCCTGGCTGTTCGAGTGAGTTCTCTAGTGGCCAAATGTCCGATGCCCAACTTATTCAGATAAAGGTGCGTCCTACTTTTTTTCTTCCCCTTACCTAATTTAAACAGTACCTTTCTGTTATCTATCCATATTTCGTATGAATTTTTATTTGTTGGCTCCCTACATGGTTAATGTGGGTGCTAGTGTCGGCATCAAATAATACATAATCGTTATGACTGACTGTGTTTTGCTGGAATAAGCTGCTGCTAATCGTTCAACGAGGCAGAATTTTCTATTCAGTTAATCATGTTAGCTTGTTGTACTCTCTTGTGCAGATCACTAGTGCTGGCTTGTGGTCTCAAAATGAATCCGTGGTTGATGCAGTAGATGCCCATGATACAGGAACTGACACTGAAATCGAAAAATACATCAATGTGGATGAAGATGGTTCACCTCATTCGGCTTCAAAGTTGGGGTTCAGCTGGATAATTCCTGACATGAAGAGAGTGAAATCTCCGTTAGAATTTTGGAAAACTGAGAATGATGTTTTGGAATCTGAGAGAGAAGGGTCTATCAACAGTGAAAGATTCAAGCCATCATCTGATGACGTGACAGGGAAAGCCGCTAAAGATACTAGTTTCTACTCGCCCAGAGAATCTCTTAGAGCAGCAATAATTCATATTGGCAAAAAGTGGCACGGCCGTTTATCTTTCTTTCTGAGATTAGCAAGGCGAATTCTTGGAGGTTTATGGGTGAGTGATATATGATATCTTTTGTCCTTCTCCTTTGTCTGAATTAGATACTAATGGCCCTGATATTTTGGATTGCGAAACATACTTCTGTTCAGAGCATTTTCTAATAGGCTGTATAATAGTTTTAATTAACAAGGCTACTATCTCCGTGTAGGATATTGCTGGTATACATTTGAATTTCGACATCCCCAAGTGGCTTAAAATCTTACATTTGGACAGGATCAATGGCTATGCAGGTAGCTGCTATCTCTACTCATCCTGTTATTTGGTGCATAATTAAAGTTCGTTCAGCATTGAGTACTGAGATTTTGCTAAACATGGTAAAAGTCTTTTTAAATAACTGGTTGTGAAACATGATTGAAATACTGTTTCAACTGTTCTATTGTTTATAAATGAGAACGGACTCTCGTTCTTGCATGAAATCTGTGTTTGAGACGTAACTTCAGAAATGGCTGCAAAATAAACCACAAGAAGGGAATATGTGCTTTCTGCTGTGCAATTGCGGCTGCAAAATGAAGCACACGAAGGAAATAGATATGCTCTATGCTATGTGATTGCATTCTGTATAAATAAGGAATGTGTTGGTGGTACGAATGAAAATCCTGATTGTGTATTATCTACACAACGAATGGGAATCTTAGTATATTTTATTTCAAAATTTTCTTTGCACTTACTTTTAATTTGTTTTCGTTGTCAGTCTCGGACTCAATAGGCAGACCTTAAAAGATTAGCTATTAGTTGATTTAGTTTGAAGCAGAACTTTGTGAATAAAGTTGTTCATTCGTGTGTAATCTTGTTGTGCTTCATATGAACATCTCAGTGCAGTGGCTTGAGAAGAGAAGCAAAGCATTCGAACCAGCTTATTTATATACCATGGAGAAGGTGCGTTTTTTTTATTGGCTCACTTGTTTTTGTTACTTCATTTTGTCATTGAGCTATTCAGCTTCGTTTTGAAGCATATACTGGTAGTCGACTATTGTTGATTTCTCAAGTTTCTTTTTCAGGGTTATTTCTTGTTGCCTGAAGAAGCCAGATCAAGACATAACATTCAAACCATTAATATCAGCATTTCAGCTCGACACAGTTGCTTTGGCAACCGGTAATATGATGCTTCTCTTTTTCTTGCTTTCTAGATCAGAATCTCATCATTACTATTTAGCATTGTTTACAAGATTGTGCGGAGAATTGACTGGGTCAACAACTCAGATTTATTCCGTCCAAATTTTAGGCATCACTTCAGATTCCTAAAGCTTTATTACCGTTGATGAAGAAGATTGTTAATGGTTTAGCTGATCAGAGGCCTGTTAGTAACTTAGCTGAATAGACATCAAAGTAAAGAGTTGTCAATATAAAGTGTTATTTCATTTTTCTTAATCTGCCATGTTCTCTGACTGTTTCTCAGAGATAAATGATACAATCACCCAGTTCATTTCTATCATCATTTATCGGTCATACTCATACCTAGCATGTCGTATTTCATTCTGGTCTATATTATTTCTACATGGATCTCATTCCAGATAGACTCCTTTCCCCTACAGTAAGCACAACCAGAAAAACAGGGGATGACTATCCTTTGTTTCTTAACATATATATGCTGACTCGAAAGTTAAATGGCTTTTGATCAGGTGGCAGCAGCTGTTGATAAACAGGCTTGTAGGGTATGACACTATTTTGATGAATAGTTTGTTGAGTTCTCCGGGCCAAGGTATCAATTACATCTTCAAATTCAATTTTGTATTCTGATTGATCTCAGTGGCACTCATGGACTTATATTTATTCTATCTCCGCAAGAACTTTCACACTGCTATTGTTTTGATTACTGTTCATCACCAGGAATATCTTCTTGGTTTCCCTTTTCTTGAACTACATGATATAGACACTGATTGTATATTAGCAGCCATGTGTACCCAATTTGGGCCATTCACACCTATTCTGCCATATTTTCTGTAAACTATTATCTAAATTTGAAAGAGGCTAAGTTCCTGTGCAATTCATGCAGGTTACCTTTATAATTACCAAACAAAGGAGTTCTATAATCTTACCTATGCTCACCAGCAACCAGAAAGTTCTGCAAAATTTGGAGGTTGAGCATTTTCTGCTATATCTGCTATTCATTCAGTCTCTGCTTCATTTAGAGTTATTTCCACCTGATCTGTCCGAGTATTCAACAGATTAGTAAATCATCTGCATTTAATGGTAATGCCAATTATCTTTAGAATTGACAATTTCCAATTCTTACAACCACTCTTGATTGCTTCAGTCAGTTGATGGTTTCGAATGTAAGGAGATGCATCTCTTTTTGGATGATTTTTTTGTTTTCTCACATTTAAATTTGAGATGTCTTGATTATGTGCATGTTTATGACAAAGCCTTAAAACTTCATCACGATACTGAACAGTTCAACTAGTGGGTGCAATGACTCAACATTCAGATTGAATAGTTTATGACATTATACAATGGGTCTAATGATATTCATGGTTCTGAGAGGTTCTTGTGTTACTCTCTTTATTTATTTGGTATGAGATCAATCAAATTTATTATATGTTTTGTTGTAAACAAACTATAAATGTATAGCATAAGGTGGAATTTAGGCAGCTTTACTATTAGATATACATCATTGCTAATAACTTTAGTGCATTAGTAGCTTATAAAAAAAAAGTTGTAGTACATCTTATATTACATTGTTTATGCCTGTAGACTTCTGACACGTTCTAAAATTGAATTTCTTATGCGGGTAAAAAATTACTGATGTTTTTCTGCCTGCTGTGTTTTTCAGACTATCTTGTGACCAAGTGCGGCGTATTGATGATGTCACTTTTTGTTTTCTTCACAACAACAATGTCAGTTTCATTTACATTGAGGGAGACACAAACGCGTATGCTGAAGTTTACAGGTTTGTTTTGACAAATGAGCTATATTACCTCTAATAATCTTTCTCATCTTTATGCCATGTTAAACTACTAGAAAGTTTCTACTGGCATTCATAACTGTTGTTGCATCCAGATCATACGCACATGTTACTATTCCTCAAAAAATACTTTGAAACTTCAATTGTTGTGTTATTCACAAGGAAGGTTTGTTTATGTAAACATTAATTACGATATCGTTCTCTAATGTTTTGCAGTGCAGCTCCAGCATCATGCTCGACATAGGCTTCCAACATTTCAATTGATTTTTGTGCATGTAATTGAGTCACTTGTTTTTGTGCCGGTTAGTGTGCAACTCTCTCAGTGATGTCTTTTGGTCTGTTTATTACGGTTTGACTAATGCAGTTGCTTATTTTATCTCCAGATAATGATTGGAATCCTATTTTTCCTCTTCGAGTTTTATGATGATCAGCTATTGGCGTTTATGGTTTTAATACTTGTTTGGATCTGTGAACTGTTCACGCTCATCAGGTTGTTCTCCTTCCAATGACAATGTCACTTATTTATTTATCTATCATTATGGAAGAGTCCTTCACTGTACGGTGCACAATTGTGATTGATGAAAAGTCATTAAAACCCACTAAGTGGGATAGATAATATACTGTTATTTTTCTTTGTAAACTGCCAGGAAAGGGTGAGTGCGTCATCCTATCATTTGTTACTTTGATTTAGATCTTGAACTAATTTCTGGTAATCCTTTTTTTTTTAAACCATCGTTCGACCTTTGCTTGCAGTGTACGAACACCAATATCTATGAAGTTCTTCCCTCGCTTCTTTTTACTCTACTTTCTAGTGTTCCACATATACTTTTTCTCCTATACATACGGTAATGTCTCAATTTCTTTGTATGATCACATTATCTAAGTCATGATCTTCCTCTGACATGCCATTGTTTTGCATAGGCTTTTCTTATTTGGCTCTCTCGACCTCTGCAGCATTTATGCAACACCTTGTACTCTATTTCTGGAACAGATTTGAGGTATGGCATTGCATTCATTAGTATAAGCTGTTTTTCAGTTACAAGGTATTGTCTTTTTTCACAAATATAAATATAGTACTCAAGTGAGATTGCGGTAAAATAGTCAAGTACCATATTTAGCATCTGAATGTTATATATTGGGAATTGAAATTGATATACATCCCTCTAATTGGGAACACCACCAAGAAGGCACATGCATATTTCAAATATATTTTTAATAACGTCTCTATACTATATTATGTTATAATAGTTAGACCTATCATGTCAGGTTCCGGCTCTACAGAGGTTTATGCAAAATCGTCGTTTTCAACAGCATCCAGATTTTCACATTACATCGTCAACAATTCTGGCATCAACATTACGCATCACAAGATTAAACACAAGAAACACAGGAGGTGGAGGGGCTGTAAATGCAGCAGATATGGCAGCCTTTGGACCAGTTCTCCGAGCTGGAGTTGATAATGGAGGAATACCGAGAAATGGTGCAACTGCAACTGGAGAACAACCTAATAATATTATTAATGAGAATAATCATCCAGACAGGTTAGGCAATCCTCTTGATATTGGAGGAGGGCAACCTCAGCCCGAGGGTGGTGGAGCCGCCAATCCAGGTGCTGTGAGTTCATTCAGTTCACTCTTGTTGTGGATACTCGGTGGAGCTTCTTCAGAAAGCCTCAACTCGTTTCTCTCAATATTTCGAGATTTTAGAGATCATGGTCAAGTTTATGCCGAACCTCCACAGCAAGAAAATCACGCACCACCACAGAACAGTGGATAATGTTGTCTGAAATATTTTGACTAGGGCAGGTATCCTTCTTCAATGTCTACTTAGTTCTGTTTTGTTCAAGTTATAAAGGATTTTGTCCAGAGAGAGGGAACTGAAGGATGAAGGCTTGTCTGCTTAATAATCGGCCACAATACCTGTTAGAGAAATATGTTATTGTTTTTTACTGTAAATTGTTCGTATGTGAGAGCGCAATAACTTGTACATAAACAAGTAAAAAGTAAGAGAGATGGCTTCTGTAAGTAACAAAAATGAAAAAACTATCACAAATGCACAAGTTATCGGTTCTGTTGTGTGCAGTAACTTGATTCATAGATGTTGAAGAATTGTTCGACTTTCTTCACCGGTGTGTGTGTTTTGGTACTAATGGAATGAAGTTTGAACAACGGTTACCTCGTACACATCAACCCACAAACGCAGGATGGACCGGTTTGGTCCGATTTTATTTTTAGGTGCATCTATTAAGTGTAAATTTATAAAAAAAAAAAAAAAAAAAAAATGTTTTTGAAGCTTGAATTGTATAGAAATATTTTAATTTTTCGAATTGCACGCGCGTGAGGGACTATTTGTACAAGAAAAGCCAAACCTTGAAAGGGTATTTGTGAGTTTAAAAGTTAATTGAGTTGTTTTCGTAATTAAACTAATTTTCAATTTTTCACTATATAATGGAGAGCTGAATGACACGTGTGTAGTGTTTTGGCATTAAGTTACGTTTAATAGATGATAATTAAGCAAGCAAAGGATTAAGATATATAAAAAGAGCACACCACATAACATATCCTGCCTTGTAAGCAACACACTACAAGTGTTAGTGTTAATTATGAACACTAAAAATCCCTCTTAACTAATTGTCTACAGGATAAATTATGTTGAGCAACTGCATAATTAATTAATTTTGTAATCTTAAACACCTGGTTAAGGTGGAGTATGAAATCCCTAATCTTTAACTTGAAGGTATATCAATATCTCATGGATGAACTGAAAACACATTTTAGATTAAAAGTGTCATAAAACAAAACTCTGGATTAATAAACAAAATAAGGAATGAAAATGGGGGAAAAGTGAGGTGAGAGTTAGTAGGTTGTGCAGGTGAGTTATTAATGGAGGAATTCTTGAAATGTGTGAAGAAATGAAACAAAAGCATTAAACTCTCTTTTATGACAATGCATGTCTAATACCTGACTGAATTCAACAACCAAAAGAAAATGTTAAAAATTCAGACACAGAAAATACTAAATACTACTGCTACTAGTAATGATTCCTTGTTGTTCATAAACTAAGTTTGCCAAATGTTGTTGTACAGTAAATTTATGCATATAACACCAACACACAGTGAGGGAGGGATTAATTAGTCACCTATCTACACACTGCTTTTTCAACCACTAATTAATACTACTAGTATTTGCTTTTGCTTTCTGCTTTCTACTCTCTCTCTCTCTCTTAATTCTCTCTCTCTCTCTCTCAAAATGAAAAATGAAAAATGAAAAATGAAAAGCAGGTAATGAGTAGTAAAATGAGGGAGGAAGAGAACAAAAAGGGACTGGAAACCGTCCCCCTGACCTCATATTTGTAAACAAAGCAATCAATAAAACAAAATTCAAGCCCATGCCCTCTTGTTTGCTTGCTTCCACAATTCCCTCTCTCTCTCTTTAATCTCTCTCTCTCTCTTAATTAATCTCTCTCTATCTGAATAACACCAAAAGCTGCTAAAAAAACTCGTAACGCCTCTACACTAATAAATATTAGTGTAATCTACAACACCCTTTTTTTATTTGTTTTTTTCGCTTTTGGAAATCTTCTCTTCCACCTTAAGTATGCTGCTGCTGCCTATAATAAACAAATGTATAGGAAGAAGGTACCCCTAATTGATCCTCTCTTTTCTCCTATCATATGAACAAACTAACCACAAGTTTGCATGCATCATCATCTCCTTAATCCTTTTTTTCATCTCATTAAAACCTATTTTATATAGATACATATATATATATATGATGATGAGCAGCCCAATGAGTCAAGCACAACCAAAGCCACTCCTTGCCATTCAGACCACCACCTCTCCAACATCTGAATCTGATCATCAAGAATATCACCATGGTGGTGGTGGTGGTGGTGGTGGTGGCGGTGATAACATTAATATTAATGGCAACATTAATAATATCCTTCAATTATCTCCACCACTAGGCCTGCCACCGTCGTCGTTGCAGAAGAAATCAGTAAAGTACATGGAATGCCTCAAGAACCATGCAGCGGCAATTGGCGGCACCGCCACCGACGGCTGTGGAGAATTCATGGCCGGGGGGGAAGAGGGCAGCCTAGAGGCCCTGAAATGCTCCGCATGCAACTGCCACCGCAACTTCCACCGTAAAATACAGCTGGCCGAACATCATCATCAGTTAATGTTTATGAAGAAGAGGAGTACAAGTGGTAGCGGCGTCTATATTAATGGGGCAGGGGAGGCGGCAGAAATTGGCTTAGCAATAGGAGGAGGAGGGCATAATCAAACGTCGTTGTCGTCGGGGGAATTAGGGAAGAAGAGGTACAGAACAAAGTTCAGTCAAGAACAGAAGGAGAAAATGCAGGTGTTTGCAGAGAGAGCTTCTTGGAAAATAACAAAACTGGATGAATCTGAGGTCAGAAGTTTCTGTCAGGAGATTGGGATTAAGAGGAAGGTTCTAAAGGTGTGGATGCACAACAATAAGTATCACTTAACCAAGAAAACCACCACCACCACTGCTACTACTACATCAGTTGAATAATAATGTCATCTCAATTCAGATAGATTAATAATAATAATTAAGTTGGTACTTCTTCTTCTGATTCCGGTTAATTAATTCCCAGTAATAAAAAATTCAAATGATGAAATAATTAGAGTTATTTTCTCTTTAAATCATTAGTATTTTCATTAATGCATTTTCTCCTTCGTTTGTATATGTTGCATGCATTGTGTTTTCAACACATTTCGGTTGCAGGTTTTAATTTGATGCAGATCTGTTATATTTCCATGCAGAATATAATTTCGGAAATTGACATTTGTACATGAGTGTACAGTGAGTTGTCAAATTAAATCAGATTGACAACTAATTTCATGAATATTTATTTATTTACTTTCAACAAAATATCATTTTCTAAATTAAAACAGAAGCGTTTTTACCACAAAATTATAAGAAAAAGAGTGTCAAATATGAGAAATGTTTTCTGAAAATAATTCCATAAAATTGAGCTGCGTGTGTTGTAATGATCATTTGTAAGTTGAATTTAAAAATAAAACGAAAAGCTATCTGCAAAATTTATTGGTAATAAGTAGCAAAACTAGCAGCTTCAAAGAGAAAATAATCGAATTCACTCCATCATCCATTACACATTTGATCACTGTAACAAAGATTAATTTCAACCAACTCCCATATTTCGAACTCAAATTTTCATCTTGCAACTCTACAATGGTTGCCAGATTATGACAATCTTGTCCTAAAATTCAGTGTCAAAGCATGCTGTCGTAATCTTCGATACCATTGATCTCGCAAACGGAATGTAGCTTAAGCTATACCTGTACATATAAATTATAACATAAACAAGCACCAAGTTATTACATAAATGAAATAAGAACTAGTTAGTAATTGTGATCCTAACTAAGCAGTCTAAGACATGAAGACATACCATATTAGAGCACCAAACTCCAGCACTATTGCCAGAAAGGTCAATAGCTTGTTCCGTACCTAATTCATTTAAGACAGAAAAAATTTCAGCAGCGAGCAATAAAACGCAAGTGGTAAAATCAAAAAGGATGAAATAATCATTATAAGAAACTCACGTATACAGCACAAAAGAGAGCGATTACAATGCTAGCAATATACATCGCTGTTGCATATATACGAACAGGGTCCATCATCATTGTCACTTGTCTTTTAGGCCCTATAAGAAATGCTGTGCTGCCACAGAAACAACCCAAATTAGCATCTCAATTTTCATTTTCCTTATCAATGTCGAAAAGGAAACAGAAAATGTGACGTGCGTATAAGACTGCTTTGTTGGTTCTGTGATTAAAAGTATGCAGATAAGGGGGAAAACTATAGTATTAAAGATAAGACAATCTTAGGTGTAAAAAGTCAGTGAACAAAGAATTGAGAAACCCGTTCTAACAGTATCAAATTCCCACAAAAAACGGAAATTAATATATTTTTCTTGAACTATCAAATGGTTGACCTTTAAGGAGGAAAGAAAGAAAGAAGTTCAAAATCAGCAACATGCAGCATTGACAGGACGACAGTCAATTAACAGAATGTGGTGAGATACTAATTCACAATATGGTGTCTATTTTTCAAAATTAACAAACAACGCTGTTTCTGTCACGCGGCATGTGAAAAATGCTAAGTCATGAACTGATATAGCACTAAATGGCAACAAGAGGTCTCAAACCATGTGAATGGAGGAATTAGTAAATAAATAAGTACCCCGAAGGCTGTAAGAGATTACTGTTGAAAACGATATATAAAACTTATATAATGTTTAGCAGTACGTGAATGGTTCTATTAAGACCATGAAAGCTTCCGACTCTAGCGCGAACCAAGCAAGTTGAGCAGATATACAAAAGCATAGAAGAAAAATAATTCGATTGAAATGTGGGAACTGTTTTTCTATCAACCAAAATACCCAATAAACCGAAATATTTGATGATACTTGTTAAGATAGGATAATGCAACAACAATCGTGTGTTTCTGCTGATATCGTAAGTGATATTGATGCCATTTTGGAGAAGATGTATCAATAGAATCCAAGAGGATGTAATTTGAAGTAGCATCACAATTACGAACCTTCCAAGAGCAAGCAAATTGCCGAACGAGAAAGTTATCCCAAATTTGATTGGATGGAAGAAAACAAGCATTGACTGTTAAAAAAAAGGGTTATTTCAATGGCTGTCAATTTCCAGATAGTAGCATAAGCAATTAAGCATCATAATCCATGTTTAGAACTTGAAAAGAAAAAAATAATATACTTTCATCATCTTCAATTAAAAGAAACATACCAAGAGTGTGCAAGTTATACCAGAAGCTAAGCAAATTGCAAACCCATAAAGTCTCTGCAAAGAAAGAGCAAAAAAAACCCTTAATTCGTCGTATAACTGCGACCTCAATAAAAATGTAAACAGTGTTTGATCGAATAGAATCGAATACCTGTTTGGTGGACAAAGTGCAGTTGCGGTTAAAATCATCGATGAGGGAAGGTTCTGGCTGTTCTTCATCTTCAACCTCCATTCCCACCAGCATTTTCATTTTCTCAATTGCTTGGTTCATCTTCTCCATTGAAAAACACCCTGCTGTCCTGAATTTTCTTAATTGAATTTTTTTTTTCTTTTTTTCTGGTAGATCTGAGATTCTCAAGTTGGGTTTTGGAGAGGGAGGATCAGCTCAATACTTCAGCTTCAAGTTCATATTTGCAATTTACGCCTTCAAGAAGCTTAGTATGTCATTTAGACCCTTCCGTATTTGCAATAGTAGCACCTAGCCCCTTCAATTTTATTTCTCACTTCAAATGTTTTTGTTATTGAGAACTAGTCCTTCTATCAAGTAGTTTGTCACCTACAATGTTTGCAATTTAGTCCTACATTACAAGATTATATTTCATTTTTGAGAAACGGTTTGCACAATTATAAATGAGTTGAATGAACTGATTTAAATCACTTGACTTAATTGTAAATCAGTTGTTCACTCGTAAATTAGTTAGTCAACTGATTTAAGTACTGAGGATAATTGACTGAAATTAATTGATTTTGAAAATCAACCAATTTAATTAATTTGTAAAGGGAAGTTAGACAAATTCTAATTGAGAGAGTGTAAGAAACTTATCTCAAATGAAAAGTTAAATCTATACACTTTAATCCAAATAAAATTAAATGTATGTCATGTCTTTAAAATAGGCCGTGATGAGGGATTTCTCACTAATATTTCCAATAATTAACTAGGAAGCATCGACATTTATCAAAAAATACTTATTAGTTTGGATAAATTAACACTGGCCCCTTGAGGTAAGGTTTATTTACAAAATCCCCTATATTCTCCTATAATTACACCCACCATGTAATTTTGTAGATGTCTTACATTAACACCCTTTTGTAGGGGTAGATATAAGAAATTTACAAACTATTGGGAGCTGGATGTAATGTATTAAACCTAAGGAGTTGTTTTGTAATTACACTTATCTCAGTTTACCCTATTGTTTTTTAAAACGCGGTGAGGGCAAACACGCAGTAGTTGAAATAATCTTCTCTGCTCTGTAGCCAACTCTCTCTTCAAATTCCGATCCTTCTCCTTTATCGTTCTTACGCGCGCGTACACACACACACTCGGAGGCAGCCCAGAGTTTATCTTACCGCAGATCGATATGGTAATTGCCTATTTTTTGATCAATTTGTGTTCCCCTTCCCTCGATTTTCTTATAGTGCGTTTCTGGGTTTTATTTTTGCTTGTGGATTCAATTGCATGATCTGAAAAAAAAAATTAGCATTTGAATCATTACTCTCTGTTTTTTTTTTCTTTTGGGAAATTATATTTATTCCATAAAACAAGATCGAGTTTTTATGTCTTTTGGAGAAAAGGAAAAAATATGATATTGCTTGCAGTTTTATGGGTGTTGTTGAGATGGGGATATCGATGGCCTTCAGGTCAATCAAGTCAACATCTATGGAGTCTAACAGTTTTAATCTTCTTTATAAACTCAATATTCTGCTGATTGAAAGTGTCTTATTTATTTGGTAATATTTAATTGGGTTAAATGGTTACTTCGTCGATAGAAGATGCTCCTTTTGCATCTCTTTGGCACTTTTCATCACTGTGTATTATCATCTGAAAGAAGGTGCGGAGTTATAAAATATATGAAAATCGCATCAATTATGCTGTGACAGCCAAAGTAGGTGGCATCAAATTGATTTTTAACAATTCTATTATCGTTTCTGAATGCAAAAATCTCTTTTCAAACTATTACAGTACTCATAACGTTGTCATGTGTGCTCATCATTCTTCTTGAAATTTGTGAAGCCGCTGAAATATTTCTTCTGGTTGTCTGTATGAATATTGTTCATTATGTTCTTTTATGTTACCAAGTTTCTTCTGTAGCCACTATTTGTCACAGTGGGGGTGGCGGTGGGTGTTTAAGTTCTTGAAATAGTGAGTAGGGTAAAAATTGAAACTGAAACTAGAAAAGAAAGACAATTTAGCCATCTACTTATCTGAAGTAGAATATTTGATTTTTGAGCTTCTCTGTCTCCATCATAGGAGAAAGAATTACGATTCTCCTGAAAAATGAAATTAAACGAAGTTCATAAATTTGAGCACATATCCAGATAAGATATTTCATATGAAAAAGGGGTGTAATTTCGTAGGAGACAGGATAAAGTAAGAGATTTAATCTTGGTAGGCCACTGATGAGTGTTTTACTTCATTAAGTTCAATTTGCTATGACTGCATTCATATTCCCGTGTTGCGTTACTTTATTAAATACGTGTATTAGTCTATTAGATCACCTTTCATGTTTTATTACATGTAAGCATCACTAACAATATCTTCTCTTATCTCCCTCTCCGTTCTTTCTGTCTGCCCCAATCTTTCTCCACACTGTCCCATAATTATTTTTAACATCCTCTTTTGCAGTCGACGCTCTACAGAGGAATGTCGAGGAAAGATAAGCCTAGAGGACGCCATCATGGATTGACTCAACAGAAAAAGCAGGAAATAAAGGAAGCTTTTGAACTTTTTGATACTGATGGATCTGGTAGGGAAATAGTTATACTGTAATGAAATAGATAGCTGTGCTGTAATTGTTCTTTTATTAATGTATTTTGTTTCTTCAATTGACCGCATGCAGGAAATATTGATGCCAAAGAGTTAAATGTTGCAATGAGGTACAATGTTTGTAAATAAAATAACTTAAAGCCTTGACATGATACGTTGGTACTTAAAACTGACCTGGTTCTTTTTTGTAGGGCACTTGGTTTTGAAATGTCAGAAGAGGTAACAAAGCTGAACTGCTTTTTATTCTACGCACTTGTGTTTAGGGAATGAAGCGAAAACAAGAGTTTACTTCCCTTTTTTGTTCATTTCTTTACCAAGAAAATGCAAGAGTCTTCCTATTTTCTGTAAAATTTTTAAGATAACTTAAGGGACTTGGGTGTTTGAAGATTTTTTGTACTAGAAATCCAATATCCATTTTCTAAAATACTTAACACTGTCATTTTGTCTAACTATACTAGTTACCTAAATCAAATTTCTGTTATTTTGCTAATGGTGAGATGGAAAATGACTCTTTGAAAGTCATAGTTGATTCTGACGTGTCGTGCAGTGACATACATTTTAACCCTTGAAGCTGTTTTGTTTCCCATTGATCTTACTTGACAAACAGGTTGAAAAGATGTCTTCATTCCTAGTTAAGTGTTGCATGATTTGAGGTTATTTGTGCAACATATTAAGGTTAAGTTATCTGGCAAGTTGTCAGCAAATCAAATTATTAGCTGCATTCTTATGTTTAGCTAACTACAAAGGTTAATATATTCTACTGACGCTCGGACACATCCAATATCATCATCACTTTGTTTCTCTTTATGGTTTTCCTCACATAAATTGACAGTGATCTTTAGTTTCTTTAAATGTTGTCCGATACCTGGTTAATTATTTCGATCCTTGTAGCAATGACCACTCTTAATTTTTGTGCTTGTGTGGCCTGAATACTTTCAACTTTTTGCAACAGGAAATTAATCGAATGATAGCAGAAGTAGACAAAGATGGGAGTGGTGCAATCGACTTTGATGAATTTTGTCACATGATGACAGCCAAGTTTGGAGAAAGGGACACCAAAGAAGAGCTCATGAAGGCTTTTCAAATTATTGATCAAGATAAAAATGTTAGTTTGTTATTATTTAATTACATTGTGTTTCCTCTTCATATTAATAATAATAATCGATACTTAATCGTTTGAATGCAGGGTAAGATTTCAGCTGCAGATATTCAGCGCATAGCAAGAGAGTTGGGTGAAAATTTCACCGAGAAAGAGATTCAAGATATGATTGATGAAGCTGACAGAGACCGTAAGTTTGCTCTACTTTTTTCTTCGTGCTATATTATTTGTTAGGTATTTTTGCTTTTGTTACATTTTGCTAATTTATTTAATTTGAAAATGTGCAGATGATGGGGAAGTAAACGCGGATGAATTCATGAGGATGATGAGGAGACCTCTTATGTTACTAGATTGCATTAAGCTCGTGTGCAGTTTTTCGACGCCCTTACCTTTCCTATTTTTTGTTCTTTTCTGCTTTATTATTGTAATATATATATATATATTTTG